AGTATCCAACATACTTGCTGGCCAATTTGATACTGTCTGGCCAATTTGATACTGTTTTGCAGCCACCGAAACATCTGCTTGGAGATTATGCTTTTACAGGGCTAATTCAAGGCTGTTCAATTACATTGCCAGTACTAATCATGAAATCGGGTTGCTTCTACGAGTTTTTCCTTTTCCATTTAATTATTTATCAATCTTCGATACACGTGCGTAGTACTTTCAGCCGAGCAGGGCAGACTTCAAATTATATCCATAACAGGTCTCAGTAAACAGAATAACACTTACCGTTGCACATACGGTAAAACTCAGGAGATCATAATAGACGTGAGATACAATTCAATCCTACAAATTATACAAAGTAAACCAACCGTGATAATGGTAAATCATAATTATGTTCATAAAAAAATCATAGCAGGAAGACAAATAAAACCAAATCTTCAAAACCAATTCATTTAAGAACATCTAACTGCGTACATTGAACTATTACACCAGACACAGTATTTTTATCTCTACTTAAAACAGTGGTGAATTATAAGATTGAGTTCTCTGCTGTAAACTATGTTATATTCAATAAAACTCCTTTGCTCAGATGGATTAATAAGCTAGTTGCTGAATCAAAAATTCCGGTAAAGTCCGATTATGGCAATGGATGCTGAGTAGAAACATGTCACGGATTATTGTACCCCAAAAGAATAAACCAATAAATCATCATTATGTAACTATTCGCGATCGTGACGAAGAAAAGGCATGGAGGACACTACAGTAGTGCCCTCCAGGTCTTTTCAGAAACTGCAACTTTGACGTCACTAACAGCTTGTCTCGTTTCAAACATGACAGTTTTAAATTAAAATTCAATCCACGGCTTACAAGATTAAGATTACAGACGTCATGGGTTTCCTGAAACTTGTATGCATACCTTATATGTCGTAACACTTTGTAAGTAAGTAATGATTATAATCATCATCGTATACTGTTCGTGGTCACGGAAGGGCCACCTCAGAGACCTTCCAATGGTAAGTCAAATCATCGTCAAGTTAAGTAGTAGAATATGTAGGTCTGCGGATTGGTAACTGTATAATTCTTTAACGGGTCGCCATCCAAGTAATTGTAAGCTTTAAAACGACGCACTTCCTATATATTATGTAACCTTACATATTACCTCTATTTAAAATGTTTCTTTATAGTATTGAGCAGCTGCAGTATGCCTGCTTCTATATTTTCCTAGATGACAACTGTAATATGAAACAGGGCCAACATAGGCCAAAGATGATACCCAAAAAGTGCAAAAACGCTCAAAGTGACATCTAATATCCCTTATAGCCTTGCCTCAGCACAAACAGTAGTATGAGATCCAGATAGGCTTGACTTTCTGTTTACTCTTCCATGTATACCGTTGCTTAACTTGATATGCAAAATTGTAGTTTTTCTGAAGTAAACTAAACTGTGCCAGAAGATATTTGGTTTTCAATGCAAAATTCGACAGAAGTTGAGGAGCTATCCTGTCGACCCTGCAAACGGACGAAATCAGCGTTTGTCAAGAAGTCTGTCAGCTCGTCCTCTGTAGGATTATAGTCCTCTTGGTTGGCGGACGATGACCTCTCCTTTCCCCGCCACCCTCCTACCCAGGACTGCAGCCTCTCCAACATCAGGTCTGCAACCTGCTCAGTTTCAGGCTTCTGCTGGGAATTCTCTTCCGCAACCTGATGGTACAATCAACATAATACTAGTATCATAACATGATGAAGCTATGTTGAGCTAAAGCCAACATGCACAGCTGTGCAGATTTTTTTTTAAGGTATAGTTCTGTACAAAGCTTTGCAATTCCTTTTCCCAATAAAACACTTGACTATTATGATTTGACCGTATAGAACAATTTCCCAATACAACAGACCACATATATAATTTGCTTTGGTAGACTGTTTGACTATATACTTAGTATACATACAGCTTTACTAAATCAGTATGAAGGGGGAAAGGGAAAGAAATTAAAAACAAGCATGCAAAAAGAAGCTCAAATTACATATTTTAGTAGTATTTATTATATATTCGTGTGTCACTGACAGATTGGTACTTGGAAATTACATCGCGGTTTTCCTATATTTTTGATGGAAAAAAACATACGAAAGACCAAAGGCTACATATTCATAGTAAAGAGTACCTACATGGAGCAAAACATTGTGGTGAAATTAAGTGCCAGAATTTACTAACCTGATACGTGTATTAAAGATATATAACATACAGAAACATACAAAACCTAATTCGTACATACATGAAGTATTCTTAAGTGTGACAGATTACAAAGAATGTTCGTCTCAAGCATTACTTACACTTTGGAGAATAATGCATGACAGAAATAAAGTTTCTTGTTCAACCATGCACTCTTGAAAAATACTAACCTCATGTATGGCACCGTCTAGGATAGCAACAACCATGGTGAGG